GACAAGGTGGTTAAAGCAGATTTTAGCACGTTTGCCTTCATTGCCCAGTCCATTGAGTATAGGAATTGTGACATCATGTTGGAAGATATACAGGATGTTGGTGAAGCCTCTTCTGGAGTACTGTGTCCAGTTCTGGTCACCCTGCTACAGGAAGGATATTATTAAATTGGAGAGGGTTCAGAAATGATTTACCAGGATGTTGATGAGACTAGAGGGTCTGAGTTATAAGGAGAGGCTGGATAGGTTGGGACTTTTTCACCGGAGAGTAAGGGGTTGAGGTATGTAGAATGAACTGGTACATGCAGGTAGAGTGACATGTAACAGACATTTGGACAAGTACATGAATAGTAAATGTTTAGAGGGATAAGGGCCAAACACAGGCAAGTTGGACTTGTTTAGTTTCAGAAACCTGGTCGTCATGGACGAGTTGCACCAAAGGGTTTGTTTCTGTGCTATATGACTCAATGATATTGAGAGTAAGCCCAATGGACTAGGGCAAATGGGAATGAAAGCCTATATGTTGGGCTGAATTTTACTAAAAACGTTGGCTAAGTGTCAATTTTGGTGAATTTAATGGATAGTTATTTCTGTGTCCTAGTAAAACTTCTCCCAGTACGGGGCTTCTGCTATAATGCATGTTCCAGCATTGTGAATTGGCTATAGTGCGACTGACAAATAGGGGAATGCCTTTTCTAAAACGCAAACTTATGTTAGCTATAAACATGATTCCATCGGTGACCTGAATGATGATGATGTTTTGGAAGATGTTTTTGGAAAGTATTGCAGGAAAAAAATGGATTTCAAGATTGTCCTCATCCTGGATAATGTGCCAAGCCATCCTGCCCCCATTGGTGAGCTGAGCTTTCTGAAAACAAAGTGCTATCTCTACGCTTAAACACAACCTCTCTCCTTCAGCCCATGGACCAGGGTACAATAATATGCTTTAAAAGCTGTTATTTAAGGCGCACATTTAAGGGCTGATTGCAGCCACTGAGGGGGATAATGACAACGTTCTTCAATTTTGGAAGAGCTTTAACATCAAGAATGCAATTGATATTATCATGGAGGCCTGCAGCGATGTCAGTAAGGACTGCTTGCATGCAGTTTGGTGGAAACTTCTCCCAGATTTTTTAAGATTTTAAAACGTTTGATCCATCAGAGGAGCTCCCAAGAATCAAAGAACATTGTGTCAATCTTGCAAAGCAAGTTGGATTTGAAGAAGTGCAGAGTGAGGATGTTGAAGAGCTGCTCGAGTCCCACTGTGAAGACGTCTCTACAGCTGGTCCACAACAACTTGTCGCTGAAGGGAAAGTGGAGGCTGGAGATGAAGAATATCAAGTCCAGGATACAGCACCACGAGAATCTTCCACTTCTGTTTTGTCTTCTATCCTGAGGGAAACTGAAAAGCAGTTGCAGCTCTTAAAGGACAACGATTACAATGCAGAATGCAGCAGGGTAGCAGTTTGTGGAATAAAATCTTAATTGGCACCCTGTGAATAGTTTCTTCATGAAAGAAGAAAAAGGGCAAAGCAGCAGAAAACTGCATGAATTTTTTAAGCCAGCCTCCAAGAAACAGTCAGAAGACAATGAACCACAGCCATCCACTTCTGGATTGACTATTTTTTGCCCTAATGCTGCAACCACAACTGTACCTGAAGGTGATGACGATGACGATAATGACCCTCAGCCCCTGAATTAACACCAAAGCAACAACAAAACCTCCTCCCCCAACAAGTCATCTTGGCATTTTTTTCAAGATAAGGTGTTAAATTTACTTTTATTTCGTTATTAGATATGAATCAAACATTTATTCAAATTGTGCAGTCCTTTGTGTTAGGCTTTTGAGTGATTTTTGAGTGATATCTTTTGGTGGTCTGCCCCTAACTCCGCTTTTCCCATAGGCCCTGTTATTTCTATAGTGAGATTTTCTATGACGTGACGTTGTGCAGGAATGCAATTATCGCATTATAGTAGAACCTTCTGTATTCTTCAAAATTCAGTCCATGACTGATGCACCATGCTCATCCCATTTTCCCTCTCATCAGAAGAAGCAGAAGCACTTGCCACTGCCAGGACCTCCCACAGCTCCCAGCACTGGTGCCATCTTTAAAGCCCAGCCGTGCACCAGGTCAAGTGCTGCTACGCCAGAAGTTGCCCTTAATCATGCACTTAGTGAGATGAAAACCAGAAAATGAAAGCTTTTAAGGGCACATAGGCAGCATGGCTGACACTTCAGTGCAAATACAAGTGCACATTTATAAACGTTTTGCTGTTTTGGGACCAAGCTACACAGGTTACCCATCCCTAGCATCATCTTATCTTAGAATTCCAAGGGAATGTTACTCTCTTCCTCAATGTCCAGTATAATTTACAGCTTCATCATACCAGCCATCATTTTGTATTATAGCTCCAACCCAAACTCAGGCTGGCTGTGACTATTGATGGTTTACTGCAGGATGAGGGCCATGTCTTCCAACACACTCTCCCTCCCACCTTGGATGTTTCCACCCTACACAATCATTGCCCCCTCTGCATCCCTGTGTGCTGCCTCCAGTCCCTACCATTGACCTCCCCAACTTTCTTGCCACAGCACTGGCTGCTGATAACCCCTTTGATTGAGCTGATCCCTACATTTGATATTCACCCACCTCCCAAATAATCACTGACCTGGCCCTCTACTGATGTGCTTGTAGCTTCTTGACCAACTTCCCATGAATCTCCAAACTGATTGCATAGGACTGACCATGACCCCTTACCGAGACTGCAGAGCTATGAACCATCTGCCCTGCATGCCAAGTGGCCAACTGACCATTTCCAAGCTCAGGACAGATGGATGATTCCCTTATCTTGGTGTACCATGACTCCCTGACTGAAGGCTTTTGGCCTTGGCCTAATTGACACTATTCCATAGACTGAGACAAGGTAGTTTGGCTGAAGCATGTGCGGTATTCATCATGCAAGCTGCTGGCAGATGGTGCTGATGTGAGATTGGCGGAGCACAGCGCTGTACAGCAACATATCTACCGATTTGACTGATGACTGCTGACAACCGTGACAAGCTGCGTCTGTGCTAAAAACAGGAAACTCTGAAGTATCAGAAGACTAAGTCTTGGCTGAGGGGGTGAAGTGCAAAAAAAGGAAAAACAAGAGATGCCTGTGCATCCAAATAGGTGCAAAGTGAGTGAGGTCTAAGAGAACAGATGAGAGCTCCGAGACATTGCCTGGTCCACCCCATGAGCAGGATGCCTGTCCCTGTGTGCATGGTATCCTGGCAACAGCATGATGGAGTGTGTCAGTGCAGCACTATGGGTGGGACCTACACCAGGAACTGCAACAGTTCAAGGAAGCAGCTCACCAGCTTGAGAAGGATATTAAAGAATGAGCAATAAATGTTGTGCGCAAAAATGATGTGGAGGAATAATCTACCAGAGTCATTGGTCAAAGTAACGAGATGTAATTCATGACTTTGGTAAATTTCAGTTCAATGCTGTGTTAGGCCAGGGTAGGTGGGGGAGGGGCATTCAAACATGGAATCATGGGAAAAATGGGCGGTTATTTGATGGGTGACAACACATTCAGGAACTTTGCCAAGAGAAAGGAGTTTTCATTAGGCAAGGATTAGGGTTAGTGTTGAGGATGGAAAGGCAGTCATGCTCATATCCAGAAGTCAAATTTAAAAATCGCTGCCTAAGTGGTTGACCTTCCAAGTCCCAGCAAAGTTTTTTACTTGACCTTCATGGTTTTGTTTTCATATTTCAGCATGAGACAAAAAAAACTAACTAAATCAAAGCCATCACACAAACCCACCACTCTATTGAAATGAGCATTATTTTTTAGACCAGATTAAATTTACATCCTTTTTGGTAGAGAAATTGGCTAGGATGTCAGAATTGTTTTAATACCTTGTATCATGTCATCTGATATGTCATCTTTTATACTTGTGTTGGGGAAGCTTGTCGACATGATGCTAAAATTCAGGGGTCAGCTGGTGAGAAACCGTACAAAGATTTAACTAAAATAGAAAGGACTGGCAAAGCTCAGCCTGCCAGAGTTAACATATCGAGTCGAGTGACCCTTCCTCAGAAAACCAATATTTAGTTTGTTATCCAAGTTGTACTTTTTTATTGCTTTCATGAGATGTGGGTGATGCTCACAAGGCCAACAATTGTTGCACATCTCCAATTGTTCTGAGGAAGTGTCACCGGACCCGAACTCCCGAACTGTTAACTCTGTTTTTTTCCTTCAGATGCTGCCAGACCTGCTGAGCTTTTCCAGCAACTTTGTTTTTGTTGATCGGCAGATAGAGGGCAGTCCACATTGCTGGAGATGACGGCAGATTTCCTTCCCTGAAAAAGGTAAAAAAAGGAAATCGGATAGACTTTTCTAAATATTTTCATGGTCACCAGTATGGAGACTAGCTTTTAATTCCAGTTTTTTTTCTCCCCAGAATGGAATTTAAAATTCCCATTAACTATGAAGGGATTTGAAACCATACTGCCTCTTCTTGATGGTTAGCCTGGATCATTACATTAATACTGGCAGATGTGTGCTGGTAAAAAGTGAAGGTATCATAAGGACGACCAAGTATAGAACCCAGCAAACCAAAACTGGATCCTGACCTCTGGCTGAGGTGGTGAATTACTTGACATCTTGAGACCAGCTACAAAAGCCCATAACTAACTTTCATATTGGGACTAATTACACTTTCTGCCCTTGCCTCGCAATGTTATTTTTCTGTTACTCGTCTATTGCCTACAGTTCTTTAATTTGTGTAGCTACAGGCTCATCCTGTTCATAATGAGGAATCTCACATGCTTAGTGTGAGTTTTACAAAAGCATTTTAGCCTGTCCCCAACAGGTAGAAAATAAACTGTCTGATATGCACCATCTGCTCCTATCTGCCTTAATATTTTTGACAGAACAAACACCATCTATTTAGTTTGCATCATATTGTTTGCACCAATAGTATTCTGGATTTTTGTGTTTTTTTAAAACTGCAGATATTCATCGGTGAGATATCGATGTATTTTATAAAATCAACAAGAGAAAACCTCCTCAATCAAGAGAAGACCATTGTAACAGGAGAGTGTTGCTATTTGAGTCCTCTTTTCCGAAGAGTAATAAGGTTTATAGGTGAGTCAGTATACAAAGCTACTTTGATATCTGCAAACAGCGCTCAAGAAACTTGACACCATCCAGGACAAAGCAGCTCGCTTGATCAGTGACTCATCCGCAAAAATTCACTTCCTCCAGCACCTAACCTCTGTAGTACACAATGCTGCTATCTACAAGATACACCACAGAAGTTCAAAGATTCTTAGACAGGATTCAAAAGATTCTTCAAACCCGCGACCACTTCCATCTGGAAAGACAAGGGCAGCAGATACATAGGAATATCACCACCAAGCCACTCACCACTCTGACTTGGAAATATGTCAATGTTCCTTCACTGCTATTGAGTCACAATCCAAGAATTCCCTCCCTAATAGCACTGTGCGTCCATGTAGAGCAAATGGACTGCAGCAGTTCCAAAAGGCAGCTCATCACCACCTTCTCAAAATGTCAACTAGGGATGGGGAATAAGTGGTGACCCAGCCAGCAACATTCACATCCCACAAGTGAATTAAAAAAAAACTCAGTTTTGATCCCATCTAATGACAGAAGTGATAATTGAAATCCATTTCCTATCTTATAGTAAAGGTGGTTCAGGGTAGTTTTACTTGAGTAATTCCAAATTAGTTGGATTGGGAAAGAGAAAATTAAGGAGAAACAGTTTCCCATGGCAGATGAGTCAGTAGTGAATGGTCATAGAGTGATAGTAATTGGTAAAAGATCCAGATAAGGGATTAAGTTTTGTTTTGAAAAACAAGAGTGATGATGATCTGCAAGGGAGGTGGAGATAGATTTAAAAGTAACTTTCAAAAATAAAGAAGAAAATTAGATAAATATTTGAAGGTAGAAAATTTGCTGGAATTTGGGAAGCAACTGATTGCTTTGCACTTTCAAAGAGCGATCACACAAATACAATGGGCCAAATGGCCTCCACTTGTGCTGTGAGATTCTAAGATTCCAGGTATTGCTGATCAAACTCCATGATACAATTGTCTGCAATTCTGCCAAAGCAGAGGTAACAAAGATGGTCATGTTGACTCCTTGAAATGATGTAAATGGGGCCAGATCAGTTCAGCTGCATTTTGTACACCTCTCCCAATTGCCACCTCTCTTCGGGTCAAAAAACTAAAAAATCAGTATGGAAGGAACATAGGTTCAAAAGGAGACCATTCCATCCATTTAAGCCTATTCTGCCATTCAGTAAAATTGCTGCTGATCTGTGTCTTAAGTCCATCTAGTACCTTGGTTTCAAAACTCCGAATACCTTTTAATCAACAAATCTGTAAAGCTAAGCTGTGGAGTTCATTAGAACCTTTTGTCTCAACCACTTTATGATGGAATAATTCCAGATTCCAAGTACCCAGTTTTACCTGACATAAAATTAGAACCAGATCATTCAAAGTTATGTTATCCCTACTCCATTGTTTTCAACCCTCAAGACAAAAATTATCTGCCCATCAACTTCTTTTATCAACTAAAACACTTATTAGATAACCCATAAATATTTCATCCTTGACAGAATGCCAAACTAGTTGCAAAGTCCTCATAATGGAGGGTAGAACACAAATCAACATTGGCCATCTGCTGTTATAAGTGTGCAGTCTGACTGGTGAAATATCAAGAGTGACAACAAGAGATGAACTGGAAATCTCAGCACAGACACACCTTCTCAAAACCAGATCAAAAACTTGCTCAAACCCCGGTTGTGCGTTGTATTTTCAGATGTTTCCTTTATGCACTTACTCCTTCTGGAAGAAATCAATTAAACGATAAGAAGCTGTGTCACGATTTCACAGTTAGGAGTGACAGAATGCATTTGAAGACCAAATCTGTTGATCTTTTGAAGGGAAGCTGTATAGGTTTCAGTCTGTCAAAGTCCATCTGCTCCACAGCATGTGTCTTGTAATACTCTGTACACAGCTACAAGAAAATAGTCTCATTTGTAATTAAGGAGATTATTTGTTACTTTTAAAAGAAGTCTTTCCATTGCCCAGCATTTTCCAACTTTTACAAAAGTGTTACTGCAGTGGAGCAGTGTGTAGTAACTAGACTCCCATATACAAGGCATCACGTTGGCAGATTTTCATCCTTGACTAACTCTTGCAGCAAGGATACAATTTTATACTGCAACTCTGGTCCTGGTGGACTGGTTATATTCCAATATTGCTATCAGCTGCAGTTCTCAAATCAAAAAAAAATCCCAGTTTGTAGTTAAACATTCTGAGGCACATTATGAGAAATGTAATCAAACACATTTGATGTTGAACCATCTAAGAAATTAGGACAACTAACCGAAAGTACAAAGTAGATTGTTTTAAGGAGGTGAGTGTGATTTGGCAAAAGAAATTCCAAAATTCAGGATCAAGGCAGCAGAAAGATCAGTTGCTGATGATGGATCATTGGAAATTGGTTCTCTGAATGAGGCATGTTTTGGAGACCAGGAAGGATTGGAAGGTTGGAGGAAGTTGTAGACAGCAGTGATTAACCTTGTAGTCTGCACTGAACTTTTGTAATCACCAGGATTGTAACAATAAGACCTACTTGTGCAATGAAGTGTTTAAAAAAACGGCACGAGGGTCCATTTTGAAAACTAAGTCAAGGCACTGTTTATGGTGCTAAAAAAAGCACTTAACCCAGAGTTGGCTCTGGTAATTTTTCAGGCAACTCCATTAACCACCCTAGACAAACATTGTCCATATTCGGAGAAATGCCTCCAAAATAGCTTCTGTAAAAAAACACAATATTGTTAAAATACATTGTTTTTCATCCACTCTCCAATAACTTTGCAAGGCAGTAACCACAAGTATTTATATGTAATAGTTAAATTGCACCTGGAAAAAAGTGATGGGTCAAAATGGGGCCTGTCAGGTGCCACTTAGTTAAGCAAAGCAATGAGACAGTGCCACTAAATACAAATATACATATATACTAGAACAGAAAGTATATTATCATTTGGCCCTCCAATAAGATCATGGCTGATCTGCTTGAGAAATGAAATTCACACTCCCATTACCTTTAACTTTTGATTCATTTGCCAAACAAGAATCTCCTGTCACCTTGAAAATAACTAATGATCTTGTCCCCACCTACTGAGGCTGAGAATTCTAAAGGAGCAGAACACTCAAATTTCCCCTTAACTCTGTCCTGAGAAAGGGAACCTATAAATTTTACAAACAGATATCCCCATGAATGCCAATGAATATTTACCAGCAAATGCACACTTTTCTCCATTGCCTTGTTGCTAATGATAGCTTCATTAAATACATTAGGGGAAATTGTCCAGAGTTCACACCCCTCTGTCACCACATGACTCAAACCAGGGTTTTACTCAAGAATACTAGGGATCAGGCACTTCAGTAAACCTAATGCACAAACTTCCATAACAAAAAAATGCAGAGAATATAAAAAGCACAGTGGTTATCTTAATATACCTGCCAGGAGTTGATCATTGAACTAACACTACCAACAGATCTTTGGTATCTCCAATCAAGCTTCTCTTGTTGTACATTTGGAATACTGACCTTACCACTCCTGCAATCTGCAGCTTAAATTTTGATTATTCACTTCGTTTGACCCAACCTATAGAAGCTTAGCGTATTCTGGCATGATGTGTCCATCAAGTCTATTAACTTGGAGAGGTTATATACAACTTTGAGGGATCCCATAGTGATAATAATGGTTTGGACTTCCTGGTTCTAGCTAACCCATCTGGTACCAGTTTCACAGTATGAAGACATTGTCAGTATTTGGTATCTAAAAGTGCTCAAGTTATAACATTCCGTATCTTTATTGTCAATTCTATCACATATTTAAACAATTCTTGACAATAATGACTGTCCACAAGGCTCCAATACACATGGGGGGTAGATCTGTGCAAACAGCAGTTAAAAGGTGATCTTTGGCCCAAGAAGTTAATCAAATTGAGGTGTAAAAATTCTGAGGGGCATAGACAGGGTGAAAAGAAAATAGCTGCTTCTTTCAGTTGAAGGGTCTGTGACAAGGGGTCATAATTTTGAAGTGAAAGACAGGAGGTTTAAAGGGGAATTGAAGTAAAACCTTTTTAACCCAGAAGGTGGTGGGAACTTGGAATACACTGGGAGTGTAGTTGAGGCAGAAAGCCTCAACCTTCAAAACAAAAAGTACCTGGATGAGCACTTGATGTCTATGGGCTAAGTGACGGCAAATGATATTAAAAATAATGGTAAGTCACCATAGTGACAATAGGACTACTCTCAGAGAGAATGACAACTGGTGGTGGTTTAACCAGACGGGAGAGGCTGAGAAGGAGAGTTCTTCATGGTAACATCAACCAGTGTGGGAATTAAACCCATGTTGTTGGTGTTACTGTGCATCACAAACCAGCCATCCAGCCAACTGAGCTAAAATCAGTGCCTTAGTATAGAATAGATGATGTTTTGTTTTTTCAGTGCAGACTCTGCCTCCTCTGCACCACATAACTTAATTCTATGCCTCCAATTACCACAAAAAACAGATTCTCTCCTCTGAACCTCCTGTCCTTCTCTTAAAATTATGCCCCCTTGTTACTGACTCTTCAACTAAGAAAAACTGGTGCTTTCTATCCACCCTGTCCATGCCCCTTCAAATCTTATACACCTTAAATCAAGTCCCCTCTCAGTCTTCTCAGGTCTAAAGAAAAAAGAGATTATCTCGCCATTCTCACTTTGTTTCTGGAGGGGGCTTGCTGTACACTAATTGGTTATTGTTTTCTATATTATAGTAGAGCCCACATTTCAAAATTAGTTCATTGGTTGCTGTGAGGTATCTGACTGTTGTATAAATTATGATATAAAGCAAGTCCTTCTTATTTCATTGCACCCCCAAAGACATTTTGCAAGACAAACTCTGCTCATTTTAACATAGCACAAAGGACAATGAAATAAACAAAGTGAAGATGTTAAATGGCAGGAGATTCCAAGAAACCGTTACTGTATGGTTCGTGCCATTGTTGGTTTTCTATTAAAGCAAATTATTTAGCCTGGTGTTGATTTTCTTAAAACAAAACCTGCATTACAGAGGCAACGTGAACAAAAACAATTATAAATTTCCCAGCAACCACGGGAAGTGCTACGCCTGCCCTACAGCTCCCCCCTCGCCTCCATTCAAGGCACAAAAACAAACCTTCCATATCCGACAGGTGTTCACCTGCACATCTGTCAACTTGGTCTACTGTATCCGCTGCTCCCAATGTGGCCTCCTCTATATCGGTGAGACTAAGCTTGGACTCGGAGGCCGTTTTGTAGAGCATCTGTGCTCTGTACACGACAAACAACACCACCTTCCAGTCGCCAACCATTTTAACTCCCCCTCCAACTCTCTGGGTGATATGTCCATCCTGGGCCTCCTCCAGTGTCACAATGACACCACCTGCAAACTGGAGGAGCAATACCTCATATCTCATCTCGGGAGCCTACACAGCCCAATGGCCTAAACATGGAATTCATGTTTTAAAACCTCCCCACCTCCAGCCTCATCCCATATCCAACCCTCCCTCTCATCCCTGCCTACTTGACTTGACACAACCTGTCCATCTTCTTCCCCACCTATCCGCCCTACCCATCCCACTGACCCATCCCCACCAGTCCCTACCTGAACTCACCTATCACCATCCCACCTACCTTCCCCAGCCCCACCCCTCTTCTCTCTATTTATTTTTGAGCTCCCTTCCCCCTCCCCATTTCTGAAGAAGGGTCCCAACCCGAAACGTCAACTTTTCTGTTCCTCTGAGGCTGCCTGGCCTGCTGTGTTCCTCCAGCCCCACACTATGTTGTCAATTGACCCCATTGGGTTAGTCAGTGGATGTGGGATGGGAGCCTTAGCAATATGCACAGCAGCAAGTAAATCCTAGTTACATTCAAATTGAATCCATTTAAACCATGCACTACAGCAGTGTACATAGTTTGGTTGAAATTTGCACTGCTGTCCATAGAGAATTTAAAGTCAGACAGTCTTTAAAAACTATAGCAAAAGAGAACTTACAACCAACTTCTCTCAAGTATAACAGAATGATTTGTCCAGCAACAAAACAGTTTGTGGAGAATAGTCACATAACAATGCATCTCAATAATCTCAAGGCAGTATTTTAAAGAAAAGTAGGGAAGTTATCTTCAGCTAATCTGGCCAATTTTTAACCCTCAAATAACATCCCCATCCAAAAACAAAACTAATTGTCTGGTCATCATTGCAGTTTGCTGAGTTCAAATTAGCTGCCACATTCCCTATACTATAACAATAACTACAGTTCAAAAGTACTGAGTTAATGGTAAAGCATCGAGATGTATGCTGAACATGAAAGATGGCATATAAAGGTAAGCCTTTTTCTCTATTCCAAGATTTCAAGTCCACAGCATTGCCACTTCAGTATGATTGCTGAGATATAATTGTTTTCCAGGTTTCATCATTTTCCACTCTCAGATATGCTCCCAAATGTGACTTTGACCCACCTCTAATTCTACATTACAGAAATAAACCACCATAGGAACATAGGTGTGTATTATTCACATCATACAGCCCCTCAAACCTGCTCTACCACTGTAGGCCATAGTGTTGAGGTAGATGATCAGCTATGTTCCTGTGCTATCCCCATATTACTCACATCATTGATAGATTTTTAGATTTCTAATCTGTCTTGAACTTACTTCATGGGAATGAATTTGCACAGCCCTCTGTGGTAAAGAATTCTTAAGATTATGAAGTAGGGAGAGAGGAAACATCCATTACTGTTTCTAGTCTGTCCCTTGAAGACTTTTGCACATTTCTATGAAATCACTGCTCATTGTTCTAACCTGCAGAGGATATAAAGGTCCAGTCTCCCCAATCTCTCCTCAGAACAAATTTGCTATCCTTACCTCATACAACTTTTTTTGTGACTCCAGGCCCTGTCAAGGTGGCTGACTTTTCACTGAGCTCTAAAGTGGCCGAGGATGTTAGTTGTACCTACATTATAAACAACAAGGAGAATTTAAAATGTAGTGAGTCGACTGTAAAGCATTTAGATATCTGGTGGTCACATAATATGCCATATAAAAAAAATTCTTCAAATTTTCTATGCAATGATTTAAATTCCACAATATTATCACTTTGAAATGATTGCTGAGTTACAAGCATTTTCCAACTTTACAATTTTCCCCTTCAGACTTCCTCCCAAATATAAATGACCTTGTGCGCCCCCACTTGGACAATTGGGAATTGTCAATAAATGTGCACATCCTGAGCATGAAGAAAACAAAATCAGGAGGCATCTTTTTGTTTCCACACTGGGTTTCGCACATTTAAAAAGGGTGGTGTCCCAGACTTTTTTCCCCAGAATCCCTACAGTCTGGAAACAGGCCCTTCAGCCCAACAAGTTCACACTGACTCTCTGAAGAGCATCTCACCCAGACCCATCCCCTTCCCATGTCCATTCCCTGTAACCCTGCATCTCCCATGGCGAACACATCTAAATCTACAGATCCCTGAATACTGGGGTCAATTTAGTATGGCTAATCCACCAAACCTGCACATCTTTGGAGTGTGGGAGGAAACCGGAGCACCCGGAGGAAACCCACGCAGACATGGAGAGAACGTGCAAACTCCACACACACACACACACACACACAAACACACACAAAGTCGCCTGAGAGTGGAACTGAGCCCAGGTCCCTGGCAAATTTATCTTCAAAATTTCAATGAGGAGTGTGATGGGGTGAGGGAGGGAGAAAGGCTCAGGAAGAGGGCTTGATACTTTTGAAAATAGGAGCTTGAAAATTTGTGAGGAAAAATTTTTGCATGGATTGTTGCTTTTTTTTTGAATGCAGGCTGTTATTTTCTTGCATGGTGAGGGTTTATAAAATGCTATTATTTCAAACTTTGGATACTAAATGGGTTTTTGTTTTCAATTCTGTGAGGAAGACCCCCTTCCCCCCACAAAAGTTCAGAAACATTTTAAAATCAGTGGATGAAAATGGCATTTCCAAGAAATAAATGTGAATTCAACTATATAACTAGATAAGCTACCTTGGGAGATAACTTGGTAAACACTGAGTAATTAAACTCTTACAACCCTGAAAGAGAGAGAGGCCAGAAAGCGGTTCAGATCAGAAGAACATATCCATACTCAATGTGCTGTTACCAGCCTAAAAATAGTCAAAGTAATTGAAAAGAATTCTCTATAGAGTTCCATGAGAAATGTCAATGAATTAGCTTGTGTCTGTGTATCTCAGAGGCAAAGAATGACATTTGTGCATTTGCCAAAGTCACCAAAAAGAAGCACTTACAACTTCATCAACTGAATAAGAGGTTAAAGAGTTAAGATAGAAATAACGCTTCATTGGGCTTGTGTGACTGTAAAGGACAATGCTGGGGCAAATAATAAAGATTAAATCTTTTTTGATGTTTATGAAAACATCTTTCGAAAATGTCTTATATATTTGTAAGTTTATTACACTCAAAATCTGCGCATTTGTTAAAAAGGACATTGGCAGCCTCATGAATATTTTGATTGACTGACCATGAAAACTAAATTGCAAAAGTAAAACTTCTGGTCTACCAAGCTAGGTTTCACTGTGGAATCTGACATCTCCAGTATCACCATCAGCTGGGATCATAACATTTGTTTAGGTGACCTATTTGTGTGCAGGTGGGCCTGGGATTCTGATGACTTTGCAGATTTGAATGGCTTTGATTCTGGGGAACTTGCAGACTTTAGAATTGGGGTTTGATTGCTGTACACATGGTCTTATATGACCTATTTCGTTGGGTACGACAGAGGTTGTGTATTCCTATTTTAATACATTGGTCTGAACAATGGGAGTGCCTTGAAAAGCTATTAGGAAGCTGGGTTTAGATAACTAGCAGTGACTGCATGAAGCAATGTTGTCGTTGAATCTCAGCTCACCAAAACAAGAGAGTAATGATTTTTCATTGGTTTTGTGTTTCTTTCTTCCCCAATAGGTGTGTTTGCCTTTGGACTGTTTGCAACAGATATATTTGCAAACGCAGGCCAAGTGGTCACGGGGAGCCTAACCCCATACTTTATAACCGTTTGCAAACCCAATTACACAGGAACAGATTGCCGTTCCCACTCCAGGTTCATTACTAATGAACACATCTGCACTGGGAACCCTGAAGTCATTGCAAATGCACGAAGATCCTTTCCATCTAAAGATGCGTCTTTGAGCATCTACTGTGCCTTGTATGCTACGGTAAGAGCATGTTTCATCAAACTGGCTGCTCATAAGGCTTAGCGGCTGGGCCTCATACTTTTGCACAGAAAATTTACTGTTCCACCCAGCGCCTTTGATTTGCTTGTGGCGTTCTTCATGTAATGTAATAAACTGAACTTATATGGTGTCCTTAATGCAGTGGATGGTCCCCAATCAGTTCTCAGTAGTGCTTCATTGGAATTCTATCACTGTTCGTTCACTAATTGCTGGGTACAAAATCCTGGAACTTCCTCCCAGACAGCACTGTGGTCTCCTCTACACCCCAAAGGCTGTAGTGATCCAAAGGGCAGCTCATCACCATGTTCAAGGGCAATTAAAGACACACTGTAAATGACGACTTTGTTATTGAAAGCCATATTCCATTAACAAATAAGTAATCAGATATAATTTGACACAACTGTGTAAGGAGATGTAGTACAGGTGACAAGAAAAGCCTTGTTCAGAAGCGTATTTTAAGGATTGTTGTATTGGAATAGGCGACATGGTTGGGAAGGTTTAGGAAGAGTAATGGGGATCATCATCATCGGCAGTCCCTCACAGACGAGGAGGAATCTCTTCCACTCTCGAGGTGAGTCTGTAAGTGACTGTCCAGACCAATGCGGCTTCTGCAGGCTCTGTTTACACTTGGGGCAGCAGGTGGTCATGGGAAGGGGTGGGTGGGGCGTTGCTGTGGCAATGCACTCCTCTTACGCCTGGCTTCTGCTTCTTCCCCTCTGATGGCAAATCTGGGAGATTCTCAACACTTTCCCGAATGCTCCTCCTCCACTTAGCTTGTGCTCAAATATTAAAATTTGTATCTATTTGAAGTTCCTTGGAATTTCAACTCAAAAAAAAAACCCAAATGGTCTTGGGCCAGTAATTTCTAGGTGTCGGTGGGAATGTCGCACTTTGCCAACAAGGCCTTGAGGGGATCAGTGAAGCATTTCCTTGTCCACCTGGGGCTCACCTGCCATTTAGGAGCTAAGAGTAGAGCACCTGCTTGCGGAGTCTCGTGTCGGTCATGTGGACGACATACCCAGCCCATGGCAACTGATCGAGGGTGGTCGGTGCCTTGATGCAGTTTAACTTAGGTAAGTGTGAGGTTATCAATTTTGGTTGGTGGAATAGAAAAGCAACTTATTATCTAAAAAGGAAGAAGCCTCAGTGCAGAGGTATACATGTGATTGCAGGAAACTAGTACATAGGTATAGCCAGTAATAAAATAAAGCAAATGGAATTTGAGCACATATTGCTAAAAAAGGAAATAGAAAGCAGAAAGCGTTGCTGCAACTGTACAAGGCATTAATGAGACTGCATCTGGAATCCTGTGTACTGGTTTAGTCCCCTTGAGGAGGAATGTAATTGCATTGGAAGCAGTTCAGAGAATATTCACTTTTGGAGTTTGAGAATGAGGGGCGATCTGTTTGACAAATAAGATGCTAAAGGGGATTGACAAAGTAGACATAGAAAGACGTTTCCTCAGGTGGGGTGATCAAGAATGAGAGCTCATGGTTTTTAGGATAAAAGGGGTAGCAGATTTAAAACAGATGAGGAAAGATTCTCTCAAACAAATCCTGAATCTGTGGAGCTCATTCCCCACCCTGAGTGCAGTGGATGCTGGTACATTAAGTAGGTGTTTCAATTAGTAATGGGTTGACGGATTCTGGACTTGAGTCTGAGAGGAGATCAGCCATGATCTTATCAAATGAATGAAATTGAAGTTCCAAAGTTTCTGATGCATAACATAGGCATTATGTGGAGCACTTTGGACAGACAGCAGTTGGGGTCTGACCTAGTACCCTCACAGAGACAAGTCTTACCCAGAGCCTGGCACTAGCAGGGGCAATTAATCAGGGCTGTGGCACTAGAGGGCCCAATGTGTTTGGCCCTGCCCCCTGCTGCATTGTGTTTGGGTCAGGGGGCATGGTTCATGGTTTTTATCCCTACTGCAGTCTTACCTACGTCTTATTAGTAATCATTAATATGCCTAAGAATTAATGTTAAATTACTGAGATGTAATAAACTACATCTTGTTAATTATCAAGAGGGTGACTGTCTTCTGCTGAGACTTACTTGTGGCTCATCCCTCACCACAGACCACTGCTGAACAGTCCCTAGACTAATAGAACAGAAAAGAACAGTAGTGGCAGTCTACCATAAATGGTTGGTGCTCAGAGCTTCACATCACTGTTAGAATAAATGGCTTCGTGGATGTAATTCTGACTCATTGGACTTGAGTGGCAAAGTCCAATCAAAACAGCAGAAATAATAACATGCTTTCCAGGAGAAGGAAGTGCAAACAATGATAACATGTTATGAAAAATAAATTGACATTTTGAATTAACTGTTATCCTTCAGATGATCTCCTTATTGTAGACTGGTGCTCAGACTGCGCTCAAATTGTTAATGGGATGCAAGCATCATTGGCCAGCATTTATTACCCATCTCTGATGCAGGAGATTATTGTGATATTTCTTCCTCAGCTTATCCAAAAATACTGAGGAACTTTTGTTAAACTACATTTAGTTCAATGAATTCATCATTCAGAGGATTACCAGCAAACCTGGACTGTGGAGAATAGGGTGACAGTGTTGTCTTAAACTGTTTTTTGGAAGGTTTCAGGTTGAACAGATTATTCTGCTGTAAGACTGTAGGGACCATAATGCTTGGTTACACACATTTTCAAATCAGTACTATTGTACTGTAATTAACAAATTCCCCATGAAAAACATCAGTTCCAAGGATGAAATTAAAGCACTTGATTTATTCGAACCTGCTTATACCCAATTAGATTGGTGTTTCACGTTTATTAGAAATGTGTTTTAAAGTGTTCATTTACTCTTGCAACATTTGTATGAGGTTTTATGCAGCATTTCCCTTCCCAAATTGCCTCTCAAGAATATGCTAGCCTGCTGGACTGCATTGTATAATCCACCTTAGTCACTAGTTAGCAAAATCTTTCAATTTGAAGTGAAATATGTCAGCTCCCAGCAAAGTGTGCTGTAACATTATTGCAATTTTTTTTATTTTTCTCTCAGCCAGGCTTTCATAAATAGGATCACAAACAGGATCCAAAAGTAATGTTCTAGTCCCTCAGAACAACAGTAAAGATGGTTTTGACAGTGGAAATATTATCTTTGTGGCTTTAGGGCTAAAATATTTTCCCCAAGACTAAATCTAGAGTTGCATGTCATTGTTGTTAAATCTCCTTAAAAATGGCTTCATCGAGTCCTCTTATGTACAGAGGCATCAAAAACTTTTCTGGAGTGGTTTATCTAGTTTACTGAAGTAAGTAAAGATCCAAATTAATGTTGGCATCATGCTTTCTTGTGGTCAAACTTCAGTATTGTTTCCTAAAACATAAATGAATAAACCATCTTGCAGATGCGGTACCAAACAATTCATCTTTATCAGTGCTTTTCTTCCGTTTCTTTAAGCTTTACTGAGCTTTATTTTCTTTGCATACATGGGCTAGCTAAAAGGTATGTTTGTATCTTGTGTTTTGCTTGCGATCAATTAAATGGTCGGCATTTGTGCTGGATTTTCCTGTTTGAGACTCTGCAACTTTTGGAAAAAATGTTGGGTGAGACCAGATTCCAGGATTCCCAGTGTTATTTCATGTCACGTGCACTGCACCCTGCACTCTTCAACCTGATTGGTTCCATTGTGGGTGGTAGGTATCCCCTACTCTACTATTTTACACCTCCACCCATGACAGTTTAGAAAGTCAGGCCATTTTCTGTACGACTTTGTGAATTATGACATCTGTAGTGTCACGTGTCATAGTCTGGATGAGGGAACCTTTTAAAAAAAGATAAGCTTAAATGGAGTTTCTGATGCCCATCTGCCTCCTCACTGTTCCATGGCATCTCATTCTCTATGCCAACTTACCCTTCACCACCCATCCCTTATGGCATACCCTCCCATACCAAGTCATACCTATTCACACAGTAACAACTCCAAATAGAATTGGTAGAATGGAAAATCTTCATAAAAGAAGCAGACATTCAGGTGCAGAGGTGGAATGTCACTAGATTTTTATAACCCAGAGGCTCAATAGAAATAGAAACAGAACTGCAGCTGTGGAATTTAAAATTCAGTTAATAAATCTGGAAAATAAAGCTAGTCTCAGGAAATGGCGCAATAAAACTACCACTCAGTTTCAAAATGTCAGTTGGTTCACTAAAATCCTGGAGAGAAGGAAATCTGCTACCCTTACCTGCTCTGGCCGATACGTGACTACAAATTGACAAGAATGTGGCTGACTTTCAACAGTTTCTGTGAAATAGCTGAGTAAACCATTTCAGTTCAAGGGTAATTAAAATGGTGAACAAACATAGGCCTTGCCAGCAATGCTGACGTTCACAAAAAAAATAAAGAAGTCATTCACAAGGAAAATACTGATTCTGTGACAGTCCTGGAAAATTGTCAGACTTTTAAAGTATCAATAAGCTCTTGAATCTTTCCCTTGCTTAAAGAACGTAGAATCTATTTTCTTAATTGATCAAAGAGGAAATGTTTTCCATCAAGCACTGTTTCTGTTGGGTATAGCTGTTTTAATAGACTAATGGATTCTTGGGCTCTCAGCCAAGAATGCTGAATGAGAATTAGCTGGAAATGTAGCAGGTACTTGCCTTTATGTAGCCAGTTTCATGATCCTGGGACTTCCTAAAGCTCTTCATTGCCAAGGAAGTATTTTTGACCTGTACTCTCCACTTGATAAAATAGGAAGCATCACACCAGTAAGTATTACATTGGGATCCCCTTTTATTACTTTTGCACAGACTTGTAATTTCTTAAGCCTTGATAAGTGCATCCATGCTATTGATCTGTGTGTGACCTCATTTTTTTTCAGATGTACATCACAAGCACAATAAAGACCAAAAGCAGCAGGTTAGCCAAACCCGTGTTGTGCTTGGGGGCTCTCTGTGCTGCTTTTTTAACAGGATTGAATAGAGTGTCTGAATACCGCAATCATTGCTCCGATGTGATTGCAGGCTTTGTACTGGGCAGCACAGTAGCATTGTTTTTGGTAAGTCCATCTTGTCTTTAGCACTGAAACTGTACAGATGTATCAAATTAAAAAGTCCCCACTGCTGGGTAACTTGGTCCAAGATAAAAGTTAGACTCTAAGATGCACGTATCCATTAACATAGTTGGAGAAAAGAATTTGTTTAATGTAGAAAGTTGGCCTGAATATTTAACTTCAGTGTTTTCTTCCTTGAACTATGACTGTCCCTTGTCCTGCTGTACTGAAATTAATAAGTGAGGCTGGACTCTGTTCAAGTGATTTTGGCCCCCTCTTTCTTTCCAATCCTATTTATTGCTATGTATTTCCTCTGACCATGAACTATCTATCCTTAGCAAAAGCTTCATCCTCCTGCAGGCCAGTTTAGCTGGTTAAAAAAAAGGTGAAAAGTCTGAAACCTTGGCCTGAAATGTTTGGTCCTAGCGGGGGCTGAGATGGATGTCAGGGCAGCTGGATGTAGACATAGTAAGCTATTTGACCAGGGAAGCTGTGTTTAATGCTTCCCCATTGTCAGTGGGGGATCAAGTACAACAGCAACCTGATACTTTAACCTTACTAATTTGAGCAAGAACCTCCCACTTTACCTCTGCCTAAATTGGATGGAATTATGTTTTCCCTTCCCGCTTCACATTCCCAGCTTCATCCATCAATCCCAATCTGACGGTGTGAGCAAACATTGCTCCTGGCTGTCTATTATTCAGTCAGCTGTCTCTGATAAAAGCACAGAAATAACACCATTTCCTGCCTGTTAACTTTTTGACAATTCATCTCATTCTGTGCGACCAATCAACCCTTTGTTCATTGTAACCTTTCCCACTGGCCTACAGACATGGAATATTCCCATTTGAGAAATAACTGTTGATCCACATCCTGCTCTCCAACATGAAAACAAGTACCTGATGGACAGAAAAGGCTATTTGGTCAACAAGCACATCTTATACCAAAATAGCCAGGATCACAGCTTCATAACCAAACACATTTGCTATATGAGAAAGTAGCGAAGACAAAAAGGAGGAGAAATAAAACAGGAGAAACCCAGGGTCAGTCAGCAAACACATTCTCAAAAATTCCAATCCAATGCCTTCAGACAATTGAAGCCAATCGAGGATATCACAAGGAACACATGTCTTGTCTCTATGGGCCAATACTTTCTACATGATACAATCCTCATCTCAGCCAATCCAGCTCCCTCGTGTTACTTACCATCTGACACCACATTCCAGAGGCTCCATAATGTCTGGGAATAAAAACAATGATTAACATCCAGCTTTTACCTAGATTGAATTTAAGCAAGAGGTATAGGTGGTCGGCTGACATTGTGGCAGTGCTAAAGGTGAAAATTGAAGCTATAATTTACAGTTTTCAATTTACAATTTTCTGATATAATGGCCATCTTTAGTTCATTTTCTTGCAAGACCATTATCTGGTCTGAAAGTCTGATCCATATATTAGATGGAAGATGCAACTGTGCTAGTTCATGCAAATGGTCAGTTTATACAAATTAATCTTTTTTCATTTCCGTGCAAGGGGGCAATATTTACCATTATAAAATAAAGGAGAAACATAGAACAAAAATAGAAAAAAAGGTGTTGATACTCTGATCAACAAAATTGTTTATCAAGTTGCCATGTGTTTTTAAATAACCGTAATTATTTTGGATTGATTTTGTCTTTAAAATTGATTTGCTCATTTTTCACCTCCATTGTGACTGCTTCTCATTTGGAAAGGTTTCCTAAAATTAGGGTAAGGTCTGCCAAGTGGTTTCTTTCCCCACGATAATTCTCTTCATGATGATTTATTGTTGAACGAAGATGAGAATGCGACCCAGCGGTGGGCTGGGCGACATCGTGGACTGATAGTGAGCTCCTAAACTCCCAAAAAAAGTGGAGGAGGGGTAGCAGGGAAGCATTTTCAGCCAAATGAGTGAAACCTGCCAAATATGGAGGAATGACAAACAAGAGGCATCTGTCACCTCAAACAGATGTTATAAGTTAGTTAAGGGGCCAAACCTGTTCTTCAGGTCACTCCTGCAATATTGGTCTTCCCTACAAAACTTCAGAAACGTCACATTTGATAACAAGATGATTAAGAACTACAATCTTGGAGATAGCAAGAACTGCAGATGCTGGAGTCAGAGTCAACACAGTGTGGAGCTAGAGGAACACAGCAGGCCAGGCAGCAGAGGAGCAGGAAAGTCGACATTTTGGGTCAGGACCCTTCTTCAGAACTACAATTGCTGTCTTGATTGACACTAACCCAGGTCACTTCCCACCTTATCAAATTCACCAAACAAGCATGATGCCAGGAAAACTTGATAAAAACAAAAACACAGAGCAAGCATTTAACATGCTCATCTTGCTGCTTGCTCTGAACAACCTCTATGTCAGAGATCAGGCACCAACATCTTAGTGCACACTCCATGGGCACCAGTTTCATGCACCCATATCCATAGACATTGCCATTCATATGCCAGCATTTAATGATCCTCCTGGCACATCTGATTCACTTCAGTGCTGCACCAGCAACTATTATTGTAATGCTGCAGCAAGGACAGTGTGCTCAGGGACATGCACACAGCTTATGGACTAGACCTGGCCACATTTCCAAGTTCTTCACTCACTGTTAGAGTGCTCACTCTAAGCCCAACTTGGATGCTCACAGCATCCCTGCTTTGCTGTTTTGTACTTCATACCCTCAACCAGTGATACCAGGCTCAAATTATTACTGTCTTTTCAGTTCAGTGCAGACACAAAGTCAGAAAGTTTGTCCTGGTTGACAATAAGTCTCAGCCTTTGCTGAGGGGATCCCAGCACAGTCAGTTAGAGCAGCCTCTGGTACCAAAATAGGTCTTGCTAGGATGGTCAGAGACAGGATGATCTGCTCATGAGGAGCCGAACATCAGGTGACCCACCACCCATTTTGACTTTTTCTGCCCTACACTGTGGGCTGTTTCCTTCCAGAATTGTAGAGAGGCATGTATTGTGGGAGATGAAAGTGGGTGACAAGCTGTTTCCTTTTCTCACCTGCACCAAAAAAGAAGGCATCCCAAGTGAGTGAGTAGGCAGCTCAGAGGGCATGCAGGATTAGTGATGTCAGGGATTGGGGCAGGCGAGAGTGAGCGAGCCAAGATGTTCCAGCTAATAGAAAGATACAGCATGATCCTCGGGGGGATAGTTGGAAACAGAGGCAGAGTGCAAGAGTGATGCAGAGAAGATGGTGACACTTACCCTGTAAAAGTGGAGAAGAACATTGATCTTCTTCCTACAGTGCTGGGTGTACCTCCAGACAGCCAAGACTGCTCTAACCTGGTTTGTAACCTTGAAGCAGGCTGGCACAATCTGATACTGTGGCCTCCACTGCCAATCCTGGAGAAGGATGCAGTTCTATGTTGGCACCAGCCCATCCAGCAGGTCCTCTGTTTGCAAAGCAGGACACGGATTTCCCTTTCTGCCACGTTCAGGAACAGTGCAGGCAGCTCCAGACCAATAGTAGTTTACCCAGGGAAGTACTATCTTATAAAAGACAGCACGAATACAAGGTACACTGGTGACTTCGTGGGTACCCCTTGTGTTGGAGAGTTGTTCTGGCACCAGTGAGTGCTAAGATGGGGTGGAAATTGGACACGGGATGCACCAATGGTGGGGTAGATAATTAAATGTGGACAGTTTGATAAGATAGGGTGAAAAAAATCTTGCCTCACAGCAACAAACTCTTTCAAAAATGCAACACAATTTTGACTTCGCCAAAAAAAAGAAAACCACAAGATTCAGCCTCTTGTCTATGTTTTGAGGCTTTTGTCCTCTTGATTGTAAACCTAAAAGCTGTTCACCTGCTCAGGAACCAGGAGACTTGACATCATCCGGCATGAGTCCTGACTGGACAGACCAATCAGCAACTTGTTGCTGGGCAAAGTTTACTTAGCACACACCCACTCCACCCAGCGCCATCATAGATCTCTTTTCCCACAGCTTCAACAGAGCACTGTCCTAAATAATTCATTACATGTTCAGTAATTACTTTTCTTTTAAGAAAAAGTGCAGCAACTCTTTCCACAGCCCTTGCTTTAAAGCAACCTTTTCTCCCCCGATTTTGATCCACGATCCAAAAAAGAAAGAAAAAGAAAATGTAGTCTTTACATAATCCAAAGTGAATGGTTCCTTACCCTAATTTGCATTTTTTGCCAGGGAACATGCGTTGTTCACAATTTCAAAGGAACACAGGCCACATCTGTTAAACAAAAGCCCGAGGATCCACATGGAGTCCCGTTGATGACATTCCCTCGGGTGGAAAGCCCACTTGAAACGTTAAGTGCACAGGTAAGCTACACAGATTCCCCACTTCATACTTTGCTTTATGATCCTGCCTTCACTCAGTGAGATGTTCATTCATCCAAGCCACCTTAAAAATCACCAAGGTTGGTCCTTTTCACCATACAAATCAAATAGTGTTACTCAATGCGTTGGTAGTGTTCAAAAGAGGAGACCTCTCTGTTCTCAGATTGAGAAACTGGAATGAAATAAAGCTACCAATAAGTGATCTAACCAAAAAATCTTGATAAACTTCTCAAAAAGAGAAAAAAACCAAAGTTTTTTTCCCCTGTCCTATGCTAGGCAAGAGGTGAGACCCTTTGTAGAGATCAGAGCCTGGTTTCTCTGATCAAGTGCTGGTTGATGATTTTTTTTTAAAACAATCACTTAATTGGCACAACTATGTGACTCAATTATAAATGGATGCATTAGGCCCCTTAACGACATGGATTGTCCCAACTCTGTTAGCAGTCTGAGAGAATGAAAGCCGAGTATATATGTTTTATATTTAATTTTCTGCAAAGCAATGCAGAGATAACCCCAGTTTCTAAATGTATATGAACTTGAGAGAGTTTAATAAAAGTATTTAAAATATCTGGACCATCCTTCCAGCTCAAGTTTTCACAACTTCCTTTAATACTCGAGCTCAGCTTAAGACATCAAGCACAGTAAGCATGGATCAGTTACCACACTCAAATACAGAACAATTGGATCCCACAGTCCCTAGCAGACCACATAGTTCTACCAAGGCAATCAACAGGACACCACATCTATTTCCCCTTACCATTAGGGAGATCAAAAGTACTGGCAAAACACACAAGGCTTAAAGGTCTTTACTTAAAGGCTTTTGAATTTGAAAAGGGGAGAGGACAAAACCCAAAAGGTAACAACTTTTGATGAAGCAAATAAAGAACATGAAATGCTGGAGATAAAGAGAGTGTGGAAATCAAGACAACAGAAAAAGAGGATTAAAAAGTAGGAAGACAAAATATATTTGTTCTTTATTTGATTTCCCTATGGCCTGTGAGACCAGAATTTACTGCTTTATCTCAAGCCAAAGACACAAGCCATGGTTAAAGAACTTACACATGAAAATCTAAAATACTCGGGCTCATCTAATAAACAGACTCATGAAGAGATAAACAAATCTTCCAGCGGATTATTGTTGCTAGGGAAAATCCAATTCTTGAACCATGCGGGCCTCCATCCCAACTCCTATTTGTTAAGATGTTATTGTAATATCATGTTGTAAGAGAAAAGAACAGCCTAGGCACTATCTATTAAACAAAATTGTTGATAGCATTCGGTGTGAGGTTCTCAGTCAAAATATTTATGCTCTATTAACAAAAGCACTTGGCTTTATTGCTCATCTTACAAATCGGTCATTGCATATTTACTATTAGGTGATCCATGGCACATTAATGACTCAGTTAATGACTTGCCGAGCCAGATTTTTTTTTGACACACTAAAGAATTGATTTAATAAATACAAACCAGACAAATAAATAATTTAAAAAAACAGATAGTTGGCAAAAAAAAAATCAGAAGTGAGGTGAGGAGTTTTTTTTAAAAAAATGTCAAGAATTGCAATTGTATTGCAGTGCCCGGATTCATGTTTAAAAACTTTGGCAATGAATTTGATCAAATACTGGAGGGAAAACAAATGGTGCTCTGGGCAATGGGCAAAGGAATGGGATTAATCAGATGGGATCCTGTGTAGCATCATCGCATGATTTTATAATAATTACCTATGCTAAAGTTAAAAGTAATGCTGGGAATACAAATAGAGCATCAAAAGGAGAAGGAAAGCAAGAGTTGAGAGTGATCCTCGTTTTAAAGTCAAGTTAACACTTTAAATTTGAAAGTCTCCCTGGAGTAACCAAGAAACATGCAATACGGGAAAGTAATTGGCAAATGGATTTCAAATATGTCAGCGACAGGTGGTAAAGTTTTGGTGCATGTTATGCAGGTTGTGTGGTATTTATGAAACCTAATTTGAGTAGAGGAGCAAAGAGTTCTTGGAGAATGAATTCACAAATCACTTGAAGTAGCAATACATTAATCTGACCATAAACATATTGAAGCAATTGAAAAGTAGAGAAGTTTGCCAAATTTTTATTGAATCTTTGATAAACCACTCTAGGAGTACTGTTCTGTCACATAACAAGGTTTGTAGAGGCACAAAACAAAATGAAATGGTTTTACCAGATACTAGAACTGAGAATTTCCATTTATGATGGAAAAGATAAAGAAGTTGAACTTGATCATGCCTGAGGGATAGTTAGACAAGCATTATGGGGGAAAACCTTGGAGAGACGAGGGTTAAATAAGGAAGGTTTGAAGGAGGCTCAAATTAAGCATTAGCACAGGTCTGGATTTGTTGGCCCATTACTATACTCTATAGCTTATGCAATTACACTTGATTCCATTCATGAACAATGATGACATTCCTAGTGGGTTTGATGTGAATAGACCTTGCCAACCTTCTCTTTAAACAATTGTTGCCTAAGTACTATAGTTCTGAAGCTTTAATGAAATTGAATGATCTAAGACAAGTTCAATAAAGCTATTTTCCAAGTTATGTTTACAAGATTTTCGCCAGAGTGAGACATTCATAGTGCCAGCATTTTGTTGCTGCCAATTTGTTGGAATATTGACAACTTCTCAGAGTGGGCACAAAATGGGCTAATGTTCAGTGAATCTAGACAAACCCTCCAAATGAGAGTGTAAATAAAAGAAATCCATTCCCCTGAAAATGGAAATTGAATACACAGGACTGTTGCAGATCGACCAAAAATGGAATGAGAGCATTGCACATCTTCTGCAGTCGGTTAACAAAGCAATATAATTACCACACTGCATTACTATTGATTACATTGATCTCACAACGTGGCTCTTTTTTCCTTAATGCCTGCATGACAGCAAGGTGGGAGACATCGCCAAACACCCCGAGAGAGGGTGTTTCGTCCCAGGGTCATTTTCCAGGACCAGCCAGACACCCAACACACCAGGAGGTATATGCTTAATAATGATGCAGGGATGGGGGCTCCATTGGGAGCTCAAGGGGATTCATGAGTCCAAATAATCGGAAGAGGTTGCGCTCTGTCTGTCCCCCTCTGCTGCTTCTGGATGGCCTCCCTCCAGTGTCCCCCGTGAATCTGGCACCTCGCAAATTTTTGTTCACATTTTCTAGCTTACATTTTACTGTGCTTTCGGTCATGTCACCTTGGTTGCTGTTTATGGTTAGCCACTATGCTTGATTGTCTTACAGGGACCACGGCTCAGATCTACTTGCCTGGTCTCATGGCAGTGTCGCTAGACCAATTCAAAGTTGGCATGGTCAAAGAGCTAACCTTCATGGCTGGCAAAAATCAGAGCCATATGCTGACCTGTTCTAAAACAGGTCATTATGTTAATGTTTATGTTAAACATCATTATGTTAAATGTTGGCATGTTCATTTGTGCTGCATTACCCCAATCAAAACTATACTAGGGCGACAAATATTAAATTCTGAGGAGAGTTTGCACAGACAAATTTTCCATCTCTAGAGGGTCTATGATGATTGAACAATTTGATTGGGTATGACAACAGAGTATCATCTCTGGACAAGTCCAGAACAAGATATGGAAACCTTAAAATTGGTGCTAAGCCTTTCAGCAAACATTCCTTCATACAAAGGCTCGTTGATATCTGGAACCTCCTCTACTGAGGCTGGATGTCAAAATGAAAATTTGAAAACAGATGGTTGTTAGATTGTTTGACAAATAAAAGGATATTTAGGGATTATGGACCTTAAAACTGGTATATAGCATCTAAGGTAAAGATCAGCTATGAGATAATTGTATGGTGGAACAGACTGGAGGGCCTGAATGGCTTGCTTCTGTTCCTATATTTTGATAGCTATCTTCATATTCTGCCACAAAGAGAGATTGCTGGAAAAGCTCAGCAGGTCTGGCAGCACCTTGAAGAGAAATCAGAGTTAACGTTTTGGGTCGGGTGATCCTTCCTCAGAACTCAGTTCTTTCAGTTTTTATTCATATTGTGCCAGTTGGGTCCCGTGGATGATGTTAATTTAAATTACAGCAAGGGAGACGTGACCAGAGACTTATTTATTTTTGCCTGCACTGTGTAGCAGTAGCAATGTTGAAAGAGTGGCCAATGTGTACAAGTGCATGGCCCAGAGCCATTGGGTTGTCACCCTGTCCATTAATGATCTGGTTCATTACAAGTTTAGTGATGAGAGACTATGGATGCATTGTTATTCAACAAAGCTACTATAATGCAAATATACTTAGCAGCATTTTGCTGCTGTGTTGCTGAACGTGGAGGTCTATATTGATTAGCATGGTTTGTTAACTGTTGTTTTTATTACTGGATATTGGTGAAATAAAAGAAAGATGTAGGAGATATCATCCCTGCTTTTGTATAATAAAGTTACACACTTGTTTAAAAAAAGCTGGCAAATATTACAGATAACAAATTAAAGTCTTCCCCCTCTTCGCCCACAACATTAGATTTGTTCAGTGCAGTAAATTCAGATTAACCCGACTAAAGATCCACAAATGATTAAACACTGTTGCCACTTGCCAAAGGCATATGTTCTTTTGATGGGGTAAGATAAAATAAAGTTAGAGATGGGATGTACTGACCAACACAGAACTGTTGGACTTAATAGCTTGTGTTTCTTTGCTTTTACATTCCAAATAAGGCATCCCTTTATTTTTGCTTAAATGTGGCTGTAATTACAACAGTTTAGAATGAAAAACTCCAGAATTTTTAACAACAGTTAAGTGATGGACTGGGATGGTGGCGCTAGTAGATGGTAAACCAGGATCTGTTCATCCATGGGGCCTATGCTTAAAATTAAAGCTTAATCTAATAGAGTGAGATTGCCCTATTTGGTGACAGATTCAAGCAAGATGCTGTCAGGTAATTTTGAGACACATCACACCTGATATAAAAACTGTGTAGCACAAAATGCCTTGCAAGTTAATGCAGTAGGAGATGCTAGCCCTGAATTGGGAATTAGGTACATCGCTGCAGCGAAGAGAGGGTGCTTCACTCTGCATCGTCATTTTGTACTTGACCCAAACACTATTGACACCAACCCCAAGTGATTGAAAATATTCCATGCCCCTGGTACTTACGGATTTACACTTATAATCAGAGGAACAATGCACAGGCTAAAAGGACTAAACAGGTAAGTGATTAATGACCAGTTTTGTTTGTGTTGGATTTTTGTCGAACTTTCACAACTTTGAGGCAGGAACTTTTTTTCTGTTTCAGGTGATTAGGTCGCAGAGATGATTCACATGGGTACTTTCATCTCCCAATGAAAGCAGGGGGAGCGTGAGTGTGCATGCGAATGCCATCTTGCCCAGGGCAAGATGCATTTTCCCTGCCCTCCTATGTGTTATGTCAGTCCCTGAGAGCATGTGGCAGGGTGGGTTAGCAATTGAAAAACCAATGCAAATTTTTTTTTAGAAAGGGAGGAACTACTTGTCAGAGAGTAGCATGAGAGCAGTTTATTTAATCCGATTTTTATCTACCATTTTTTATCACTGTAAAACAAAACTGAAGCTCATGTCAATCCTTCAACACTTCACCTGGTGAAACAAGTTAACCAGGACTGACTCAGTTTATTTTGTCCCCATTAAATGCCTTAGTCAATGCCAAGTGATTGAATTTAGCAGACTCCAGTTGGTGTTACGCAAAGAGGTGATGTTTAAAAGAATTTGTCAGCTTTCAAACGATCTCCACCGTCATCTCTCCCACAAACACCTCTCCCTCATCTTTGTTGATAAGGGCCTGTCCTTCAGAGTGTGAGCCCTTGGCTGACACCAGCACACATTGGGCCTCAGAACTTTCACAATCCCAGTTTCTGGTGGCATGAGGGGTATCACTACAAGAATGTACCTGGAAAGTCACCATTATTCATTCATCCATTATTAATGAAGTCCACCCTCATTAGTTTTCACTTTGAAACTCACTTTCTCATTAGTGAATCCTCTTCACACCACAAGAATGAAACTGGCTTCCATTTTCCTCTGTGTTGGTCAATGGAAAGATGAAGAAGCGCTTTAAAATAAATCACCATTTTACATGGCTGCTTCACGCTAATTTCACCTTTACAAGAGCATGATGAGAATCTTGCCATCTTTTCGATTTCCTTATCTGATCTACCTTCTCCAGTGGGGAGATTGTCACAGGGCTGAAAATGATGTCACTACTGACTGCTCTGTGGCAGATGCGAAAGAGCGAAAACCCTCATTGGTTTTCTTTGTCCCTCTTCTCCTCATTTTGTACCTCATTTAGACTGTTTGCCTCTCAGTGGCTGGGAGGGAGACGTCCAGGGCTTTGTGGAGTTGAAGCTACACAATACCTCGCACCTCACTAGTCATTGCTATTCATTTGATCCAGTACAAACATGATGGGCCAAATGGCTGCTCTGTACTGTAAGACCCTATGCTTCTGCTCAAACATCCTGCAATGACTCTCATGGACTTTTCTTTTTAACTGCTTTTTTTTGACAGAACTATTATAATCAATACATTTCATTTCCAGAAAGTAAAAATCCAATCTATGATTAAAAACACTTAGTAGCCATTCATTGAAAAGCTACACACTTGATCGAATTAACATCACATTATATAGATTAGTATGCAGCATAGCTAAAATTGATTATATTATAATATAAAAGATGCTTCCAAACTTCTATTTTGTCCCAGCTCGATATAAATGGAAGGTCCACAACTGTAACACACATAGGTGATGCAGAGTTATACAACATCACTCAGTAGCAGTACTGTGAAAAATTTTGATTTCAGAGTTTCTGTTGTGTAGCAATTAAAAAAGAAATCAATATCCTGGTTAGAGGGCACCCCAGTTTTCTAGTGCTTTGAACGTTAACCTCAGTCTGTTCTAACATTTGAAATGCCTGTTGTACTGTTCTGTGGATCCCACTTTTACCCATAACTTTCTCCCCCTTTGCAGGATGTCTGGTACCGTCCACGTCTGTCAATTAATATAGTTATCCGCCTCTGTGCGTGCACACTGCAAATTTTACGTCCATGGTTGAGGTGCCTCTGGTGTTGTGTGCTGTGACTATGTGGTTTGCGTACCAGTCCTACTTGGCTCAATTGTTGTGGAATAAACTTGAAAACTTTTTAATCTATTACTGTAAACCCCACTGGCAAAATCCATTTGCAGTGTGCATAGTTTCTGACCCAAACTAAATTGCTTTGTTCCGTCAGTTGTAACATTTATCATCAAGTGCTTTCCTTTTGTCCTCTTACAGAACCACTCTGCTTCAATGACAGAAGTAACTTGAAGAGAAAACCTTTTCTTTCCTTCTAAAAAAATTTAACACAAATTGGTACTTTTTTTTAATATATGTGTTAAACTGTGGAAAGTGCAACACAAGATCATGTCTAGTTAGCATCAGATGTTTTGTACATTTTGTATGACAACGTGTTGTAGCTTACCTTGACTTTTTTGCCTGTTTCAGTATCATTCTCTTTCAGAATTAAAACATTCCATGTAACAATTTCTAATTTCTTATGTAAATTCCAGTGGTGTTGTGGTATTTGTACAATAAAGTGTGTGGTCTGCTTTATACATACCCTACCATTGAAGTGATTTGTATATTTCATTAAAGAGATAACTGTGAATCACTCTTCAAATCTAGAGATTCCCCAGGGGCTGTCTGCTCATCTCCCAACATAATTTACCAGACAGACTAATTTGTGGTCATCTCTCTAGGAATTCCACCAGTTTCTGACCAAAACAACCCAATGGAAGACCAGGAGAACCTTTAAGAAATTCTATGCTACCATTTACTTTGGAGAATCCTCATTCATGTGCACCCTTAATTGATGGAATTCTTTGATTCACTCACTCATGAGATGTGGAGATCTCACAAGCCAGCATGTAGGTCTGCTTTCTAATTGCCCCGATGGTGGTGGTGGTGAGTTACCAACTTAAACTTTAAGGGCGGTACAGTGGCTCAGTGGTTAGCACTGCTGCCTCACAGCGCCAGGGACCCGGGTTCAATTCCACCCTTAGGCGACTGTCTGTGTGGAGTTTGCACATTCTCCCTGTGTCTGTGTGGGTTTCCTCTCACAGTCCAAAGATGTGCAGGCTAGGTGGATTGGTCATGCTAAATTGCCCATAGTGTTCAGGGATGTGTAGATTCGGTGGGTTATAAGGGGATGTGTCTGGGTGGGATGCTCTGAGGGTCAGTGTGGACTTGTTGGGCCGAAGGGCCTGTTTCCACACTGTAGGGATTCTATGATTAAACAGATGCTGGGCATTCTCCACTGTGCTGGTACTTCGGGAATTTCACTGGGCAATAAAAGAAAGCAGAAGATACATTTCCAAGGCAGGATGGCAAGTGAATCCAATGCGATCTTGGAGGCAGTGCTGTTCCTGTGCTCCTGCACCCCTTGTCCTTCCAGGTGGGAGGAGTTGCCTGTTTAGGAAGTACTGTTGAAGAAGCAAGTTGCTGCAGTGCATTTTATAACTGGTAGACACTGTAGCCATAATAATGTGGCAACAGTGGAGAAGGAGAATGTCTATTAAAAAGGTGACAGTTGAACTGCTTTACCTTCACACTATTGAATACCATCTCACTACAGGCTGTTCACATTGCACACGAATTCTGTTCCAAAGCATTAATCCGCTACCAATTCAATGCAAAGTAAATTGCGAGGCAAATGGTTTCGTGCAAATTTATGGAGATGAAAGTCGCAGACCTGAAATATTCATTGTTCTCTTTTCCATTAGAAAATGTCAGACCTGAGTATTGCCAGCATTTTCCACTTATATTTCAGATTTCCAGCACCTCTTGCATTTTGCTTTTGTTTTATGCATTGTTTACTTTCTGAATTGACAGTTGTGCAATAAGTGAAATATTTAACAAATATGAACTTTGCTCACCTTAGTGAACGTGACGAGATTGGAAATCACTCAATTTTCTTAATAGGTTTAGGTTCTTGCAATAATTAGCTTTGGTATAAAAGTCAAGGAAGTTCTTCTGAGCTTCATGAGAATAATCCTTATTTTCAATGATTCAAGTGCACTTCAATTCCTTATGTTTTAGCCACCTTTCCCCTTCACAGTAACACTAACATAGAAGCAAGGTAATGTTGTTGACTTGGGAGATACTATAAAATAGATGATATTTATTCCCACTGACCAATTTGGGAGAAACTAGGATAAGATGTAAAGTGGGCTGCTGACTCACTATCATCCATTTTACAAAATTTCACCAAACTTTATCCCTAAAAAGTTGTGTGTGGGAACATACTAGTCGCTGACTATTATGGAGTTAGTAACTGCTAAAGTAGTTAATATCAAATATTAAAATTCATTTAAATTGAGTGGGATTAAAAATAAAAAAACTTTAAAAAAAAGTAAATGCTGAATTTCCAGAAATTCTTAAGTCTCAAGGTGTTAATAAATAGCTCAATTCAGTTTGTTGTTAGGAAACAAATACCAGGCAGGGTTACAAATGCTTTGTTAATCTTCCTGGCTGTCTATAAAAAGGGAACAAACTCACAGATTTCAATCAGGGCTTCAATAAAATGCTGCAGCCTCCACTAGAATGAATGGAAACTGCTGGTTGGCCACCGGGAAACGGAGCAGTCCTTTGTTACCCATCGACACACTCAACCTGGATCCATATACTCCAGGGTGTACCTCATTTGTCGAGGCTGAGACCAGGCTAGGGAAAGTCTAAGCCTTTCCTTTTGAACTCTATGGAGTGGCTTCCTCCATGAATACTGCAGCTAAGATTGCAGGTGGGACTGACAGCATTATTGAAACCAGATTTCCATTGTTGAAGCTGGACCTTGCTGGTTGTGGCTGGACTGTTTAGCTGCCTGCCCTGCAGATAAGTCATCTGATGGATTTTCAAATTACTTTACCTGCTGGGTTCTACTGGAGGAGTACAATTAAAATTCTCCTCTTTGTATGCTACTCGTATACAAGCTTATGTATCAGAATGAGTGATCAAGGAGACAAATATAAAAAGACTAATGTATTTCAGAGTGTGTAGAAACTTTGCAGTTTCATAATCCCCAACCCCATCCTCGGTGATCTCCAAGAGAGTCAAGGGCTTACAATTTCTGACTCATCTTCTTGTTTAAGAGTGTTCACTTGCTTCACAGACCATCTCATTGGCTGTACCCTCTTCACTGCAATCCCAGTGCCAAAATACTGAGATCAGAAAATATGCTCAGTCTCTTTTGGCCTAATGTCAGGAGCATTAGTCAGTTGATAAATTCCAGACCACTCTCAGAAATGGCCTGAGACCTTCAGGTACAGCCACATGTCTGATTGAATTTACAGTGAAGTTAACCCTGGCATCTGCTCAGTGGTTGACCAATAAAAAACAAATTGGCATATTAGATTCAGTGCTTTCTTTTGTGGGTGTGCTCATCAGGTCATAGTAGATGAGGAGCTAATTTACACTTCTTTCTCCCATTTATTTCTAAAGTGATCAACTGACTATTGTGCATAGACATATCCTACATGTAATTCAAAAGGTTGGGATTGGGAGCTTGAACTGGAGTCTGTATTTTAGTTTCCAGCATGTCCCATTAATCCATTATTTCATCAGACTGAATTTGAATGCTAAGATGCTTAACTAACAAACAGAACATACCAAAAACTTAGTGGTTATCTTAAAAAGGAAGGATAATCTGTTCAGTGGGGATGGATAAAATTACTTTGCATTGTAATTACAAGCTTGTACATTCTAATCATTCATTGCAAACTCCAAAATTTTGCCAACAGTGATTTGATGTGGTCTAAGAAATTTCCTCACTTGGAAGAGCTGCTTCCCTCTACCCTGTGCCCCAAAATTCTCTGCCATTGGTCCACTGATCATATTAGACCCTGGGTACCACTACTGGAATTAGGGATTGAGGTAGTTCAATGTCACCAATCCGGCTTTCTACACTTAAACAATGGGGTAGACAGTCCCTCGTGGTAAAACAAAGGTCCATCGACATCTAGCCCGTTGGAGAAGTGCATCTGGTTAAATATAGTTTGTGGGCAACACTTCACAAGCCAGAGGCGAAGTTCCACAAATTACCATAGTGAGTTCGGGATTGAAGCCATACCATTGGCAACATTCTGCATCATACTTTAACGATCCAAAAAACCAAGCTAAAATCATCAAATGTGATGGCCTGTCTGATTATCCATGGTATAGGATAAACCACTAAAGTTTTAACAAAAGTCAATTGTCTTACACAAGTTGATGTTTATTGCATGATAGCAATGGATACAATTAACAACTTACAACTAATTGCAACCATCAGGATTCCAGGTATGTCACATCTATCTCCACTGGTACATAGTGCAAGATTAAAATGTTTTTCTACCTAAAAGATGATATCAGATCAGGTGGAGCTAATGTAACTTCAGCATTAACTGTTTCAGAATCAATACCTTCCGCAAACACTGAACACATCTTACCTGAAGGCATATTTGGATAGTTCTTGTGTCAGATAGCCTTTTGTCCCTCAATTCCTACTACTTTATTTTTTTAAAAAAGTACTAAAATTATTTAAAGAAATTGTGAAAACTGCCAAATTTTTATCGCTAATTCTATGACTTTCTCCTGGGTGTTGTTCACCATTGTGCCCTGGAGAATAAATTAAAAAGAGTTTGAAGGCTCCAGAATTCTGGAGGAACAATACCAAATTTATTTTCTTGACTTACTCATCCTACAGAATAATGGGTCATTGGAACATTAAGGCACGTGAGCTAATCTAAAGAGACTGTAAGTGTTCACAGTGGCAGTGTCTCTGAGCTGGAAGATTAAGCTCAAGTCCCAATTCAGGACTTGAGTCATACAACACACACACACACACACACACAATGCAGCCAAATAGTGTGATTCCCAAATCCTTCTTATGACATGACATGCAGAAAGAGCCTCCAGGTCAGGCAGAAGCTGCAGAAGAGGAGAAGGCATCAGCAAATGATTGTAGTACTTTACAAAACGTGACCAAGGCCCAACATATGGTGGTCCAGTCACCAATGCCATTTTAAGACATGGTAATTGCAGAGAGCAAGAGAGCATGAGAGGAGATTCAGAGCAAAACAAAAACAAATTCCTAACACAATGCTTGACTGGTGAGTAAAACGAGCCCTTGGGCTTGCAAATTGAGTTGCCAAGCAGCTTACAATTCTTATTTGATCTTTCATTTCAAAGACATACCAAAAGATGAATGAACTGAGCCAGCTATTGTTCCTTTGAGATAACAAGGTGTGGAGCTGGATGAACACAGCAGGCCAAGCAGCATCAGAGGAGCAGGAAGGCTGACGTTTCGGGCCTAGACCCTTCTGCAGTTCCTACTATCTCTGAAACATTGTTCCTTTGAGTGCTGGTTTAGCCTCATCTAGTTCTACAACCCTCCCTCTACTTTAGCCTTATGTGCTGCACACACTTCCTTCATCCTGTCGCTGGGTCATGTCTTCAGCAGCAATGATTAAAGTCTAGAACTCTCTCCCTTAACCTTACTGCCATTCTCCTCTTGTAAGGCATTCCTTAA